TCGTCCGGGAGCAAGACCTGGTACTGCGCTGAAGCGTTCGTCACGCTCGGTCTTGAAGAGAATCTGGCACCAGAATTCCTTGGCGTCTTCGTCGAACCAGAACCAGAACTTGCCCTCCCGTCTGTCGATGTCGCGAGATTGTAGCTTCACCGCGACCGTCTCGTAAGGCTCACCAGCAACAATGAGGTACTGGTAGTTTGGATCGGGCTCTTCCACCTTCTGCTCGTATGCGCTCATGACACGGACCTTGGGAGTGATGCCGGGGGTGAGGTCCGGAAACTGGAACTGGAACAGCAGCCCGTTTTGGCGTGTGTTGGGGTCGCGTACTTTTGTGATGCGGTATCCAGGCCGGCCGATCTTGATGACGTTCTTCTTGGGCAGTACACCCGCGAGCAGTCCTTGCTGGCCCACATCATCTCTTTTGCCTTCTCTCTGCTCCTTCGCCGCACGACGTGCCAGGTTTGTCTGATGCTTCCTTCCTTGTGTATGCGCGAGATAGGATCCATCGTTCTGGTGGACCGTCAAACAGAGGCGGCACTCGAAGCTGCCGACGTGGTTCTTGAAGAAGTACGGGTCCTTGTCAAGGTCGATGGTCTCGAGCGCAAGCTTTCGGAGACGCTCTCGTCGGTCGGCATTCGTCGCGGACTGTGATGCGACACCACCGCCTCCAAATTTGGAGCCTGCGCGATTCTGTAGACGTTAGTAGCTGTTCCTGACTTTCGCGACGAGAGACATACCTGGTAATCCATCTGAGCGAAACTTCACGATCTGCTGTGTCAATCTTGTGCGCGATTAGACAGGAAGGAGGATGGCTTTTACGTAGGCAACGGTCAGGTGTTGGGCGGTGTAGACGTTGTCGTGCTGAAGTGATGTTGCGCGACAGAACTTCTGGAGGCGTGCGACGCTAGTGTCCAGGTACCTGATCCCTGCACTTCGATATCACGTGCGCGGATGCCTTAACACATTCACCCCCACAAACTTCCACCTTGAGTCTCGGAGATTGCGAGATAGCGAAAAAATCGTAAAGGAGGGAGAACACAAGATCCGATCATGGCAACAAACATCTACATAGGAAAGCGCCTCTCCTACGACGCGCACCTCTGCACAATCCGCTACCACGGCCCCATCCAAGGAACAACCGGCCTCTGGCTCGGCGTAGAATGGGACGAGCCAACACGAGGAAAACACTCCGGCACGCACCAAGGCACCCAATACTTCACGTGCTTAAACCCCTCCCCAACATCCGCATCTTTCATCCGCCCAACCCGCAAAGCAGACCAACCACGCACCTTTGTCCAAGCCCTAAAGTCAAAGTACGCCTCTGAAGCTTTGGAGGAAGACTTCCAGGATCCAGATGTTCATGTTGTGTTTAACCATCAGCCGCCTGTGCAGCAGAAACAGAAGCCGGTGCTGTTTAATGGGAAGCCGGCGGAGGAGATTGGGTTCGATAAGATTAGGAGGCAGTTGGCGCAGTTGGGGGAGTTGAAGATTATTATTTTGGATGGGCTTTGTACGCAGAGACCTGAAGCACGGGGAGAGGGGTGGTTAAGAGGAGGGGAGAAGGATGATGTCAAGGAGGCATGTCCAAAGGCGATGGAACTTGATCTGAGCAGGAATCTCTTTGAGGAGTGGAGAGAGGTAGCTGCGATAAGTGAACAGCTGCCTGGTTTGAGGAGCTTGAGGGTCGAGTGAGTATTCTCTAAACTCAGTTCTCTCTTGGGTATACTAACAGGAACGCAGTGGCATACGTCTTCGCGATACATCTGTATCAGAACCAGAGCGAGTCCGTTGTCTAAATGCCTTCAAAGGCATAACCTCTTTGAAGCTAGAAGACAACCTCCTCCCTTGGGCCGATCTCGCCCTCCTAACCCACCTCTTCCCCTCCGTCACAACCTTCTCCGCATCCAGCAACCTCTACACAAGCCTCACCCAACACGCTCTCAACCCCACAATCACCGACCTAACACTCGAAGACAACCACCTCACCTCTCTATCCTCACTGGCCTGCCTCACAGCCCTCCCAAACCTACAACGCCTCATCCTCAAATCGAACAAAATCTCCGAGATCACCAGTTCCGGCGCATCGATACCGGTTTTCCCCACCACAGTCCGAGAAGTCGACCTTTCGTTCAACGAGATCTCAACATGGGGGTTTATCGAACAACTCAAACACGTCTTCCCCGGTCTCCAGAGCCTGCGTGTATCGCAGAACCCGCTGTATCAGTCGTTGCAAGCACCGGATGGACGGAACTTGACAGCGGATGATGGATACATGCTTACGCTTGCACGACTGGGGCAGTTGAAGACGCTGAACCACAGTCCCATCAACGAGAAAGAGCGGTTGAACGCAGAGTCCTACTATCTCTCCATGATCGCAAAAGAAGTGCAGTTCGCGCCCGAGAACCTGCGAGAGCAGATCTTGAAGAGTCATCCGCGTTACGAGTGGCTGTGTGAGGAGTACGGCGAGCCGGATGTTCAGCGCTCTGTCAACGCTGTGAATCCTAACTCGCTTGCTGCGCGGTTACTCTGTATCAAGTTCTACCTTGCTACATCCACAGATACGGTGTTGGAGACAGAGATCCCGATGAGCGGCACGGCGTACACGGTTCTCGGCATTGTTGGGAAGCACTTCGGTGTCAAGCCTATGAAGTGCAGACTGATCTGGGAGACGGGCGATTGGATGTCGGTGCGGAAATCAGCGACGGACATCGTAGATGACGACTGGGATTCTGAAGATAGCGAGGCGGAGATGGGTATGGAGCGGGTCATGAGGGAGGTGGAGATCGTTCCTGGGACGCGGTCGATTGGTACATGGATCGACGGAACAGAGGCTACTGTGAGGGTCGAAGTCAAGTCGTGACGGCTGACGCCGGAAAGTACTCCATCGGTTTCGAGCAATGTGCGCTTCGTTAGCAGTTTATTCAGCGAAACCACCAGTTGGCCTGTACAACCGTTAGTAGACATACCCATACCAAGTTCCATACTGTACCCACCGAAGCATTCGCACCCTTTCCAATACCCCTGACAGCATGCCACCATCCATTAGGAATATACAGCGCATCTCCACTCCTCAAAGTTGTTTCCCAGCCCGTCGCACTCCCCATACTTCCATCTCCATCCTCATTCCAAACCGCCATTTCCATAGCCTCCATCTCCGCACCCTGCATCATCTCCTCTCCTCTCATCTTCGCATCTCCGCCCGGTCCCCGTATATGCTGCCTTATAGCCTCGAACACCATCCGACCCATCCCAGGCTTCATCATCCTGATTGTTTTCTTGCCTGCCAGTTGTACGAAGAGGTTCGGGTTCGGGTCGCGATGTAATGGGGTGCGCGTAGGTGGCCTGCCCATCCAGAGACTCGATGCGTAGATATCGCCGCGGGCGTTGAGGTGGGATAGGAAAGTCGATGGCGTGGGTAGGTCTTCTTGCAGCGGCGCTGGAAGATCGGCTAGCGAGTGTTGCGCGAGGTACAAACTCGTTTCTTGCGCGTCCGCAGCACTCATGTGTTGTAATAGGAGAGCCAGAGGGGCTTCGAAACGCTCAAAGGCTTCATTTCCGAGGGCATTTTCGGGGGATGAGCGCGTCAGCTCCAGTGGCACGATCGCATCGCCGTACTGCTCGAGGTACGCTGTGTTCAGCTCTTGCGGATATCTGAATGTGTTGGGCTTATTATTCCACTTGTTTGTCAAAGATGCGTCGAGGAAGGCATCCTTCTTAAACCACTTCCGGATTGCAGGTATATCCAGAAAGGCTTTTTTGAAGAGCGCGGGTTGGTCGGGGTCGAATGCAGGTATGCTGAACTCCTTCTTCTTGTCCAGGTATTCCGTCTTCGTCAAGATCCGAAACCGCGGATATTTTGTTGGTCGTACATCTGGCCTTCTGCTCCAATGGCGAGGGACGGCAGGGGCCGGCTTCGGCATGGAGGTTTAGACTGTCGTGTGAAGGATTGCACGGATGCAGCTCGCTCGGGAGCTTGACACGCTCTCACGTTATCGTACCCCACACGAGCAGCAAGCACCCGCCCCGCCAAAACCTGCCCCTGGTAAAGTTTACATCGTCACAAACACCTGGAAGCTCAGCACCAGCCCACGCGTCACCAAAATGGCTCAAGCTCAAGGCGCACAGCCTGGTCAAAGTAATGGTGTCCAGATCCCAATTCGTCGCGCATTGTGCTAACCCTCCCTCGCAGTCGAAATCACATCGCTCCCTGTCCCCCGCCTCCAGGAACTAAAAACCCAACTCGACGCCGAGCTTACCCACCTCTCCAACTCGTTCCAATCGCTGCGCACAGCCCAGTCCAAGTTCCGCGACTGCCTGAACTCCATCTCGACAGGCCTCACACCAGCCACCGTCTCGAAACCGCTCCTCGTCCCCTTGACATCCTCGTTATACGTACCCGGCAAACTCACGGATCATGAGCACGTGCTAGTGGATGTAGGCACGGGTTTCTTTGTGGAGAAGGATATTGCTAGTGCGAAAGACTTCTATGAGCGCAAGGTTAAGGATCTGGGCGACAGTTTGAAGGACTTGGAGGGTGTTGTGCAGGGCAAGGCGCAGAACGTGAGAGTCGTAGAGGAGGTTATCAGGCTTAAGGTCATGAACGCACAGGAAGGCAAGGGCGAAGAGCAAGGCAGCTGAAGTGTTGCGAGGCAATGAGCAGGCACCATGCGGGAAGACCGGAAGACCAGAAGCCAGTGTCGGATCAGCCACATGCTGCAAGAGTAGAAGCACATCTGGAGGACCATGCGGGTCTTTCTAGAAGAGGCTACGAAATTTCATGGCACAAGACTGGAGTAGAGAATTCGTCATGTTCGCATGATACTATATGAGAATGAACTCCTATGCCTGACGCTCGTTCAGATCGCCTTGGATGTCTTCAAGATACCACCTCATACAAGGAAGAAACCGAACAGGTCTGCAGCCTACATCAACATGAAAACATGCAAAGTAGATGACCTAACGTCAATGTAGCCTTCAGGGTGTTCAGGTTTTCCCGTCCTTTAGATAGCGACGCCTCCCATGTCTGTGACAGAACTGACGATGGCTGATAGCTGAAGCAGCTTGTCCATGAGGATGCGGATACCATCGCGTGGTGGTGCTTCAACGCCAGGGCCCAGATCGAGGTTCCTCATTCCGAAGTCCTCGTCCTCAACCGCGCTGGAGTAGCAAGACTGTCCGTCATCTGGCAGGAAGGTAGCCACAGTGTGACCCCAGTCGGCCTTTCGACCCACAGGGAGACGCTCAAGCTCAGCAAGATGGGTAGCCCATTCAGAGTGGCGGACACAGAGACCCCAGACGGGAAGTCTCTGTCCTGGGTACCACATACAAGTAGCCTCAACCTTGTAGCAGGTCTGCTTGATGCCGAAGGAGTATATAGTTTCCAGACGGCCGTTCCGTAGGTGCTTCTTGACGGTAGGTGTCTGATCCCACTCAGCGAAGCTTTCGGTGGAACGATAATCGTGGTTGGGTCTCATCTTGACTCGATCAGCGAAGCCAGTTATGACAGGCGATATGCTCTTCGCTGCCACAGGAATCAAGGACTCAAGGGCGAAGTGCCATCCTCGACTCTCTCCAAGCTCCAGCAGATTGATATCCATGTTCTTCTTTGGTGTTTTACGACCCTGATCGATTTTGTAGAACCGGGTTGTTGTCTTCTCGTACAAGCCCTCTTCGTCATCAGTCCAGTCGACCTGAACAACGATGAGTTCGGACTGCGGCGCTGCGGATGGAGTGGTTGTACTAGCAGGAGCTTGGGGAGGCGCTTTAGGACGTCCAGCATGGCGCACAGCTACCGGCTCACGCGGTGGAGCAACAACGCTGCTGGGGTCTGTGAACACCCACGTTCCTCGGAACATTGGACGAGTGCCTTGCAGCGATTTTGGCGTATAACCGAAGTAGGCAGAAGACTTCGTCGGCTCCAGGAATTCATTGGCTATGCAGAGTGCTCCCAGAATTTGCGAGCCCAGTGCATCATCAGCAAGCCTATGTCGTTAGCCATTATGCTAGTCGTCACGAGGGGACACACTTACCACTTCTTTATATCAACTGCAACAGGTCCGTTAATCGACTTCAAGAAGATATCCTTCCCGAACTTCTAGCCAATCTTATCCTCCTTAATATGTCTTGAGCTCAGAGCTAGGCACCCTAGCCGAATAGCCATATCGTACGCGCCTTTCGTGTGGCGCACAGCTTCAAGGGCCAGCTGAATTGAATGCTGGATCTTTGAAAGCTGCGTGAAGTGCATGATCTCATTGCGGAAGCTGCCGGAGGTTTCCATCATCCCACTGGAGAGGAGGCGAGGTACGACTCGATCTTGACTGATGTTGAGCGAAAGAGGTCAGCACTCGTCTGCAGTTCACGCTTGTGATTCACGTACAGGTTCGGCCACCACGCGTCAGCCTCCTCCAGAACAACCTCTAAGCCCTCTTTTTTATCAAGAATTATGTTGATTAGATGCTGCAGTCCCATAGCATCAGCTTTGACTTTGTCGATCATCGTCATGAGATGCGCTTCGGCTGCTTCGATGCGCGCTATGTCGCGGGCTGTGAAAGTTAGTGTGTATCGCATGTAGTAGATATATGATGAACCTGCCTTGTATCTCTATCTGCCAAACGTCGTTCTAAGTAGGAAGAAGCGTTATGTACACCTCGTTCTGAGTCCGAATGGCGTTAAGCGCTTCTAGCTTGTTATTGAAGACATCGCGAGGAGTGACGCCTTCGTTGAGGAGGTCCTCCGGCCAGCACACGATGATGCTCGCCAGTGGCATCTCGCCTTTTGACACCTCAGGCGCCTTGCCCTTGAATTCGTCCTTCCGCTGACGCTCTCGCTCTTCAATGCTGTCGTAGTACCATTTGTTATGATCGAATGCAGGTGTCTTCGCCCATGATGATGAGTCTTTTGACTTGATATGCGCGTTAGAGATCCAGTGGTTGATGTATCGGACGGCTTTCTCAACGCCTGCACCTTGTCCAGCAATGGCGAACTGAGTGATATACCCAGCGTCCCATTTGGGGATGACATCGCAGCCAGTGTTGATCTTGATCTCGTTGACGATGAGCTCGCGTTCTGTAGTATGAGTGAGGCGACGGTACTCCGGGGGCACCGGAATGAACCTTTTTGGCTTGGGCTTGGGCTTTGGTAGAGCGCCAGTGTCCTGTCCGTCCATCGCTGCGGCCTCTTTGTCGTATGAAGAACTAGAAGCAGTGCCAACGTAGCGGCGTCGGGGTGAGAGGACTGGCAGTGTTGTGGTGTTCGTCGCTGCGGAGATAGGTCAAGGTGACGCTGAATTGGAAAGAGCAAACGCGCGGTGGCGCTAGTGCGCTTGCGTATACAGCCTCAGAGCGCACCTGCCTTGTCCCATTGTGTGTTCAAGGTGAAAGTTGGGGAAATGTGTGAGTACGGTTGATCTATACCCAGAGAGCTTTGTGATATGCTTTAGGAGCGGGGTGTCAGCGAAGGCACCCAGGCTGTTGCGCTGCACATCCTCTATGACGCAAGAAGAGCTCGAACGCAACGCAATGGTAGAGCAAGCTCAGAAGCGTACTCCATGTCAGTATCACCAAGGAAATCGTGTGCAATAATGCGGGAAGCTTGGTTGATGAAGAAGTGATTGTACTAATGGAGAGGTTGTAGAAGCTGAACATGAAACGAGAAAGGATGAGATGGGTGAGATCTACGACAGAATGAGAGAAGTATCCTCTTAGTATGGTTGAGGGGGAAGGTCTACTACTTGGAGACACTGTCGTCTAAGGTGGCCTGTTATGGAGGAGGGAGAGCTCTCTCCTGCTACAAGGGACTGAGCACGTCACCAAAGCTACACATGCAGCCCAGGAAGGTGCATCCACGACAGAGAGGCTTCGGGCGATAATAAGCAGATAGACCTTTGATGTTTACGTAGTTGAATCGCATCGCGCAGAGCTGTTGGCTGGCAAACATGAGTGACGAGGTAGGCTGAGCAGTACATGAAAGATCGTGCAATACATGCATTTGAATTCGAAAGTCATGTGGTTAACTAAAGCGACAGACAAAAGAATACTCCTAACAGAGTATCGAGCAGGAGCGATGGAAGAAGTTGTGGGTAAGGCTACCGAAGTTGAGAAAGGCTTGGCGGGCATCGGCGTTTGCGGAGCGACTCCCGATCCATTTTCTGAGCATCGCGAAAGCCATTACAAGTCGATATAGCGCATCATCGCGCTTTGCACTCCTCGCAAGCGCTGTATTACTTCTTATCGAACCTAGGAATCTTTGCGACCGGTGGCAATTGGAGAGTCTGGACCTCATCGCCCCGCCACCATGGACGCCGTGCCCATCACAAAAAAGCTGATAGCCTTCGGCAGCAACAAGATATACCTGTAGGTCACGGCGATGTCTCATTTACGCTCAATGCTGACACGATCCAGCCCCAAATTCACGGTTGCGTTTCTTCGCACGCCCCAACTCTCCCCATACCATGCCCGCTTCCAGGTCCCGCTAGACTTCTCCAAATACGACCTCCGCGACTACCTCTACCACGCCTACAACGTCAAATGCTTCAACATCCGCTCGTACGTCAAGCAAATGCCGGTACGCGATACGCGCGAACAACCACGGCATTGGTTCCGCGAGGAGTCGAAGAAATACATGACAGTAGAGTTGGAGCAGCCATTCGTCTGGCCTGAGACACCCGACCTCGAACCATGGGGCAAGAAAGACAGGGAAAGAGAGATTCGGGATTCTGTGAAGATGGGCGGGGCAATTGACCAAAACGACACGCGGGAAGCAGCCAGGACGCTTCGAGAGCAAGTGGAGAAGTTACTACACAAGAACGTTTCCAAGCCGAGTCGCGAGATACAAAAGAAGAAGGCAGCGGCTATGGAGCTTACGCCAGAGGAGCTTGAGTCGGAGATCCTGAGGAAGCGGGAGGCGTCAAATCTAAAGCGCATGTCAAGATTAAGGTTGTGGGCGAAGGAGAGGACAGGAAAAACCGTCGAAAGCGACAAGCCCAGGCGGTACGCGATCAAGGTTTGAGAATGATCTTGCGCTGTGTATATATGCTTGTACCATATGCATTGGGACGGAGCAGGAGATCATTAATTGATTGCCACCCATACTGATAACCTACGTGGATACTGCGAACACTTTGACTGAGCCAATGCCAAAGCAGCCAATCGCGGAGCTCTAAGTTGCAGTCTCATTGTTTTCGCTTTTGGGGTCCAAAATGTGCACACCAACCCCTTCTTCCGTTCTGAGCTATCTAGTGTTACGCGGCTTTAAACGATGACGCTAACGGTCGAACAGGCAATCGAATGGCGAGGCTGGAAGGCACTGTGCCGCAGTTGCATGTAATCTTGCGCCTTCCTTGGCTGCAGGTACACTGCATAAACGACCTTCTCCGACGATTTCATTCGACCACCCTAGAGGGAAAGCAATACAAGGATGGATAAGTAAACAATTCATGCGTTTTTGGCAATCGCGCTTGTGATCACGGAGTTACCACCGCTTTCCACTTACCTTATTTAAGCGCTCTAATGCTCTACTCACTCCCTTTGATGCTTCAAGTACAGACTGACATGAGCAGACTTTGCCTCCATCAAACATAATCATGTCTTTCGGATTTTCTGTTGGGGATTTCATTACTGTTGGAAAACTGATAAAAGAGACCATCAGCTGCCTACGTTCTATAGGCGGAGCTGAATCGGAATACCAAGAGCTGGTCAGAGACCTCAAAGCACTCGATACATCTTTACAACACCTTCATCAAATTGGCGACGACACGAACGCATCCGCCCACGTTAGTCCGATCAAGATTGCCACCACGAACTGCAGGCTACGACTTGAGGGATTTTTGTCAAGAGTAAAAAAGTATGAAAGATCTTTGGGGGCCGCCAGCCACGCATCTGCTTTGAGGGCTACATCAGATAAGCTCAACTGGCATTTTGGTCGGAAAGACCACATCGAACAGCTCCAACGGGACATTCACATCTGTCACAGTATCATCAGCCTACACCTAGCCCAACATAGTCTTGAGCGCTTGGAGACTTTGCGCCTAACGAACCAAATCGACTTTTCGCATACCTCCGAACAGCTCCATCATGCACAGACCATTCTTGAGCACATGAACAGAGAAAACATGAGCCAAGCAGCCGTGTTGAGTGATGTCCGAACATTGCTTCAAGACATACATCAGTTTGTCTTTGGTGACATCAAATCGTATTTGATTCGTCTCTTCCAGCTCATTAGCAGTACCTTGTACGTACCATAATAACGATATGGCTTAGGCCTGAACTGACGGTCCAATTCAGTACTTCAACGCAGCAAATTTACGATGTTTTGCTTGATATCCGAAACATGATATCAGTAGATACACGCTGGACCTTCTTCCAAGCTCCTTTGGAAGTCGAAGATGCCTTCGGAGTCAGATTCCCCATCCCAACCGAGTACGACTACGGCTTGATTGATACAGTCATTCGCTACCGGTTCAAAATTGGTGGAGGAGCTATGGAGGTGAGCGCGGGGAACTACGAACTGTGTAGGAAACAGAACCGTTTTGACATCATCAACGAGTCCTCACGTTTACAGCCTGGGACGGCTATTACGATGTTCATCATCATAAGCATGCGGATCGACAAGGAGGCAGTATGGCCTATGCCTCGTTGTGAGTCCGCAGAGGTTATCCCGTCCCCTGGGGGCGGGTCTGTATGGTAAGCATAAACCGATCCGTCCGCAACAGTTCACTAATACTATGGATATAGCTCGAACCGTGATGTGGAATACTATCAGGCCAACGGCATGTCAGCCAACATCGAGGAAACCCTCAGCAACAACACGAAGTCATTCCCCTTGAAACAGCTTGTGTATACCAGCGATCAACCATCCAACCTTGTCTCTTACAACATTCTGGAGCGAACCACACGACGAAACGTCCGATACGATCCGTTTGGAAACTACCCTTCACCCTACATTCCAGTTATTGAAGCTATCGCTAAGATGGAAGGTGTTATATCCTGTGCTAGCGTCTCTATAGGAGGCGTTGTGGATGGTAGGTTCTTTGCGACGGTTCAAATGGAGCTTGAGCATGACATCAAAGATAAACCACCGCGTTGTGTGGAGGTCGGACGCTTGCTTTCCAAGTGCCTCGACCCATGGGGAATTGATTCGTGCAGTGTTCATTGCCACGTTGATGGCAAACATATCGACAATGGGGCAAGACAGAGGTAGTATTGCAGTATGATATATCAACAAGTGTACAGTGCTTTTTTCGCAGGCATCAATGTTGAGAGCGGACAACTAGTCGTGACTTCCAGTCTTACCACGTGGCGCACCTGCACTTTTCACTTCAGCAGGCCTGCGCTTTCCTGGCGCCTTTGTTGTCGATGTCGCTAAGTACACATTTCAGTCACAAACCAGCCGTCTTCATTGACGCTTCACCATCTCCGTTTTCGTGATGTAGGCTGTTGGTGCCCAATGAGTCTGCCTGCAGCAAGGCTGGGAGTGGTGGCGGAATGATTGACCTGCAGCACAGCCCCCCAAGCTGGCGGTTTCGCTCACCAAGCTTGTTTATGACGGCGCAGCAGTCGCATACCTCGAATCTTTCCTTTTTCCGTTTCGCACTCCGTACCTAACATAAGGCAAGTCGTTCGGTGCTCTCATAGTCTATCACCTAGGTATCTAACCATTAACAGATAGAACTGCGACGACCACTGCACTCACCACACGACCTACCCGGGTAGAAACGCTTCAAGTCACTCACATCACACGACCATGCCTTTCAGTGTCGGTATCGGTGATGTCATAGCCGTCGGCAAACTGATCAAGGACATCACTGACAGTCTGCGATCTGCTGGTGGAGCAAAATCGGAATACCAGGAACTCACCAAGGAGCTTGAGGCGCTCAGGACTGCCCTAGATGGTCTGGATCAACTCGATAGCAATGCAGCCCCCTCAGCACTTCTTGACACAATCAAGTTCGTCACGGCGGACTGTCGCCAACGACTTGAAGTGTTCTGGGCGAAGATCGAGAGATACGAGTCGTCCCTAGGCCCCGCAAGTCGATCCAACGCTCTGAGAGGTACCATGGATAAGCTCGGCTGGACGTTCTGCCGGAAGAAGGAAGTTGTGCAACTCCAGAGAGATCTCCAATTCTATAGCAATGTCATCAACATACTCATGACACGGCATGTCGTGGGACAGGTGAAGGATACAGGTGCAGTCTGTACACAAATCGCTGAGCGCATTCGTGACACACAAGATACTCTCGCAGATGTTGGCAAGGATGTAGTAAGCCAGGGGGTTGTAGCGAGTAACACTCAGACACTGGTCACTGGCCTGCATCAGTTCATATTCGGCGAGGTCAGAACATTCCTGGCCGACTTCGGGCAGTTGGTGAACAAAGTCTTGTATGTCCATTCCCTTCATGCACATTGTTGGAGCTTTTAACTAACCAACCACCATGCAGTGCCTCGACCCAGCAAATATACGCCGTTGTTCTCGAAATCCGAGATTCGGGAAGAGCAGTGAATACCGGTTGGACATATTTCCAAGACCCATTCGTCGTTGAAGACGCCTTTGGTCACAGGTTTCCAGTTCCATCGGAGTTCGACTACGATATGCTGGATACGATCGTCCGGCGGAAATTTCAAACCGGTGTTGGCTCGCGAGATGTTCTTCTAGGTAACTACGAATATTGTAAGGCGAATATGAGGTCAGCAGCGATTACATCAACTTCACGGCTTACACCCGGGCTAGCTATCGTGATGGTTGTACTCGTACACGCGAGAAGCGGCAGGCCTTGTCCTATGCCTCTATGCAACTCTGTACGAGCTAACACTTGCCCCAGCGGAGGATTTATGTGGTAAGCTGCATGATTAACAGATATGGCGAATAGTTATGATAACGCGTCTGCAGTTCTGTTTGCGATGTGCGGTTTGATCAAACTACAAAGGCATTCAATGATTACCGTCAAGATCTCAGCGAGTCCGGCATATCTTTGATGACTTGTTTCGAGAAGAATAAGACGAGTAGGATAACCATCGAGGATAAGATACAATATTTCATCAGACCACGCAGTATAGAAGACCAGAATTCACTGAGAAACGTGAAGGTCACATCAGCGGTCTGTCTTCAGCTAGTTGGTATAGACTTTGCATGCATCTTTAAAACTTAACTTAAAAAGTCAATATCCAAGCCCCAGTTCATGTTGTGCTGATTATCAACTGTCATACACGTTGCTATGTGATACCACAGTCGCGCACTACCAGAATATCGTCTACAGTACTCGTTGTACTCACTATAACACAAGCAGGAGGTGAAGGCAGCCTCTCACCACGTGGCACACTTGCGCTTTCCGCTTCAGCACACTGACGCTTTCCTGACGCCTACGTACCACCACCTTCCCTCACCTTTGATCCCCAAACCTTCCATCCCACATCAGCAACAAATCGCACTCATGGCCAACCACAGGGCGATGCAAGAGATGAGCCGTCTCGAAGACCTGCAACTGCAGCGCGAGCTCAAGCAAAGCGTCCTTGGTATGTCACTTTCCACTTTTCCGCTGCCGGAAGGCGCTGTAGCAGACTCTGCAATACTGACTGCGCAACAGAATACATCATCGACTTGTACCAATCAGCCTACCCCAACAACCATGGCTTCTCCATCCTCATCTGCCGCCACGTATTTGACCGCTCCTCTTCCATCCCCGCTGCTGCCGCCTTAGGCCGCCGCAACGATAGAGCAGACGAGTTTATCATGATCCGCGCGGTTACACTCAGCGAGCCCGGAACGAAGAAGTGGACGCTCGTGGCTGAGAGCAGCAGGGCGTGCTTCGGTATCGTACCTGCGTTGCAAGAGTTTTCCAAAGACTTGGAGCGCCAGATGGGCAACATGACGGCTTCGATGATGGTGGACAAGAAGAGACAGCGGAATGAGAGGGATGAGGGCTCAATTGATCAGGGTGAGTACATGTCAGGACGTTCGCGCAAGAGGCAGAGGGAGAGATCATGACATGGGCTGGCGGCGTCGAGCAGCTTAGACTGGTGACGTGACTCGGATATGATGACAGGTCCGATGGCAGAATGCGAGATATTTACAGTTCACTATACGTTAAACGATAATGCAGAGATGGTCGTTTCGGATATCGAGAAGAGGATTGAAAAGTTGTCGCACTTGTGTCAAACAATGCAGCTACTACGATGTCAAGAAACTCGCCTCACCTAGGCAGATCGTAGCGACTAAAAATGGCACATCATGAAGATATATCGTCATTTACGTGATAAAATTCAAGGAAGAAAAGTATGTAGTTGGGCATCTTTTGACAACTGACAGGTAGTACCCGGTTTTTCCGTAGTTCGGGCCAATGTTTAGGTGTCAGCCCACGGATTGACAGGTGTATCCTCGCATGTTCGCTGGAGTTCCGTGTGCCTGCCACAGGCGCCGGCCAATGACAGCTGACTCACGTGGCGTTCTGTACATAGCACCCCTACACGCAATGGCACCGGGCTTCGTCATCGAGCCTGAGTGCTGCCGAGCTGGCCAGGTGCAGCACCGAAACTTGGAAGAACGACTGAGACGCAGCGAGACATGTGGAGTTGAAAGACGCCGCCATGCAGATGGGCAGAATAAGCATTACCTCACGGCAGCTGTCGTTGGGGGCGTCGCAACGTAAGATGGACAGAAGTGAGGCACCGGTCAGGTTCCGGAGGCGGCCGGAGAGGGGCTATGTCGAGCAGCACGCTGAACATGTTCGCAGCGAAAAGACCCCCAAAGGGTGCGTCGGTGAGGGATGCCGGTCAGAAAAGCTGCGCAAATCATGAGACCTAGCCGGGTTGGACAGGCGCTTCTCGTTGGGCGCAGCAGGTGGTGGCAGAAGAATTGGGCTTGGCTGCCCGGCTGGCGGCAATGACATCACTCGCACGCTCTGTGCCCTCAAGACGGCTGCCCACCCCAGCCTCAAGCAAACGGTAATATCTACGCCACCCCACCTGCACCGAGATAGATCCTTGGGACCCAAGCCAAACGGACAGTCATCAGCCCTGGCCCTCCCGAGTCGACAACCTGTTAAATACCACTGCCTGCCTGTGCCCTGCGCCGCTCGACACCCCATTCCCCTACCCACTTTGTCCCGTCACTTCGCAGGCACCTTATTCTTCGTTGCGATAGCCCACCAGCCTCTCACTTGCGCTAGTAGCCAAGTAAACTCTATCTGAACAAAGCGACCACTCGGTATGTTTGCACGCCGCCGCTCTTTTTTCCCCTCGCGCGCCCACTAACCCAGCCCTGCGCAGAATACCGGACTGGATACGACCCTTCCTGCTGCCGGACCCCTAGAGCCACCATCGCCCACGGCGGTATAGAGCACCACCACCATCACTATGTCTGAGTACAGCTACGCACCGCGGCACCGTACGCGGGAGCCCGAGTACGTCACCGAGACGACGTACATTGAGCGCGGCGGCCGTGGAGGCGGGGCACGAGATCTCGTCTACCGCCCCGCAGCGCGCGAGGACAGCATCGAAGAAATTCCTCGCGACTTCCCTCCCGGTGCCGAGTATAGGCAGACCAAGTACCGCGAGGAGTATGCGCCGCCCCGCCGCACCCGCTCAGTGAACCGTGGCTACGACGACGACTACTATGACCGTCCCCGCCGACGTGACCGCGACTACGATGACCGTTCCGAGTACTCCGAGCGCCCCAACATGCAGCGCCGCAAGTCCATCGTCGACAAAGTCAAGGACTTCGGCGAGTCAGCAGGCCTAGGCGGCATCATCGGCGCCGTCACTGGCGGCGGTCGTGACCGATCGCGCTCTCGCCCTCGTCGAGACGACCGTGGCTATGATAGCGACAGATACGGATACTACGACGAGCGCGACCGCCGAAGCAGCCGTTACGGATCACGTTCGCGCAGCCGCAGCCGAGGAGGACACAAGTCGGAGAAGTGGGAGCAAGCCGCCAAAGCCGCTATCGTCGCCGGTGCCGTCGAAGCCTTCCGCAGCCGCAAGGAAGCCGGTCCATGGACCGGTGCCAAGGGCCAACGTGTTGCAACTGCTGCTCTTGGTGCTGCCGGTATCGACGGTCTCATCGACAGAGACCCAGGCAAGCACGAGAAGAGGCACGTCGCTGAGTCTGCACTCGGTGGTCTTGTCGCTTCTCGCCTAGCCAACGGCTCTCGCTCGCGCTCCCGTGCTCCTCGTGGCCGTGATGACTCCAGGTCTCGCTCCCGTTCTCGTGCCAGGTCCAGGTCCAGGTCCATCTTCGGACGTTCTCGCTCTCGTGGCCGCTCCCGCTCCAACTCCAGCGACAGAGGAGGAAACAACGGTATCGCCAAGGTAGCTGGTACCGGTGCTGTGCTCGCAGCAGGCAAGGCTCTATACGACCGTGTGCGCTCCAAGTCTCGTGCTCGAAAGGACCGATCCCGCTCTTCCAGCTCGGACAGCTACGTGCCATCACGTAGGGGCAACCGCCGCTCGTACAGCCGAGGCCGCGGTATGGACGACCAGTATTCCGAAGCCCCTTCCAGGACTAACCCAGATCGCAGACTAGCCGCCGCCGGTGGGGCAGGAGCGGGTGCTTTAACAGCACAGAATGGAGGAATGGATCGGGGTCGACGGGATTCTAGCGCGGATTCCGAGTCGTCCACCGATATGGAGGAGAAGCGCAAGAAGCTACGAGGTAAGGAACTCCTCACTGCGGGTCTAGCCACTGTGGCCACCATCCACGCCGCCCACGGAGTCTACTCTTCCATGGTCGCCTCGGAGAACCGCCGCAAGCTCGTTGGCGAGGGCGAGATGACCGCCGAAGAAGCGCGCAAACGCAAGTCCAAGAACATGCTCCAGGACGCCGCCGCCGTGGGTATCGCCGCCCTCGGTATCAAATCCGCCTACTCGGAATGGAAAGAGATGAACGAGCAACGCCACAGCGTCAAGGAACTCGAGACGCGCCGCCGCAAGAGGAGAAAGCTCCGTGAACGCCGCGAAAAGGAAGCCCGGATGAACGCCCTCGGTGGCAACATGAATGGTGCAGCCGCTAATCCGTACGCATATCCTGTAGCTGCCAACCAATCCTACCCTACGTCCTATGCCGATGCGAATCCCTACGGTAGCTCGGTCCCGCCCCCACCCATGGGTGCGAGGTACTAGAGCTTCTTTTCTTTGGTTTACTCACGATGGTTATTCACGACACGGCCGACTTGGTTACTTTTGTACTGCGGTGGATGATAGAAGTATTGTTACATACCTTTTTTATTATTCTGTCTTTCAGAAAGCTTGGTTAAGCGAGGAGGTGAATGTTATTGTTCTTCTTTTTGAGCAGCTCCATTCTTTTGTTTTCGCGACTCCGATGATTGACGATGGATGGAGGCGACTTCTTGGGTTCGGAAGGAAAGAGAAGAAGTGTTTTTGGCTGATGCGACAATCGAGTCTTCTGGCTCACACATGAATGATTCACGACATGACTTTACGAAATGAAGATAGATATGAAATGGAAAACGGTCTCTTTGCACATGCTTTATGGTTTGCACGTTTTTGTTTGAAACTTCGTGATGTATCTTGACGAAAGACCGAGCTCAGCTGCGACATGTTCGCTTTTGGGTTGGTACATTCACAGATTCGATATCATGCGGACGAACTCTTGCACACGACCATTGAACAAGACTTTTGATTCAGGACATCCGTCCTACTCCCAAATCTCCAAAAGCTAAGAGAAAGAGGCTATGTGATATGTGATGCCAAACTAAGATAAGCAAAGGGAAATGTCCAGGCATCCAGGCCTTGAAGACTCCGCCACCGGAGGTATGTGAATATAGTCGAACGCCAGAGAATGTGCAGGGGAGATAAGGTAGATGACCAAAAGATATACAAAGGGGATATGTGTTGTGGGATGGAGGACCAAAACCAAGTTGCCGTCGACATCATGTGTTTCGCCGTTCAAGCACCCTCATCATCGCTGATGTCTTCGTCAAAGTCGGGTTCGTCGACCGCCCAGAGGATGAAGGGGCCATTGTACTCCATCTAGCGTTTGTTAGTACATGTCCATCGCAAGCAGGAATGAGATGTCATGGGCAGGTGGTACTTACATCGTTACGACCCGGCTCTGATGCAAACCACCAGCGGCCTAGGATGATGCGGCCACCAGGCAAGACAACGCCCTCATACGCCCAGAGATTGTCCTCGTTGGGGTGGTCGTAGTCCTCGGTGAAGTGCTTCATGAAGGTGATGCGCTGCCAGCCGGGGACACCACCTTGAGGGGGCAGTGGGTTGAGCCAGCCAAGGGCCTTGTATTCATCGTCGAGGTCCTCACCCTTACCCTCAAACTGAATGCTACCGCCTGTGGTTGTCTTGGTCGGTGCGCTCCGACCCTGAGTCTTGATGCCTTGTTGCTTCCCGGCGTCCTTGCCTAGCGAGCGGAGGCGGTCTTCGAAGACGGGTGGCCATGGGAGCTCGCGACCATCGGGTAGGCGACTGTCTTCTGCGAAAGCAAGCTCGAGAGACTGCATGTGATCAGTAGGGTTCGTAAAGGCCATTCCCAATTGGAAATCTACCTGGATCTTGCCCTCGTCCACGTTCTTGTCAATGAAGACCTGTCTGCCTGGTCCCTGCTTTCGCAGCTTCTGAACCTCAATGTTCTCGAGGAAGGAGTAGGTACCCTTCCAGTACCTGTTCAGAGGCTTGGCTCCGTCGGTGAGTTGTTCTCTCCATGCCGAAGGCTTCTGGGTAACGTCTAGCTCATCGATCCTGTCGAACAATGTTTGGGCATCTTCGTTCATCATGTGGTGACGGAAGAAGTTCATCGCGTGGAGCATCCACCTGAGGTTCAACTTGTTATGGTCATCTCCGGTGAAGAGGCGTTCCTTGTCAGATGAGAGGTAGACAGCGTGCTGTGAGTCCTCGAAAGCAAAGACATCATGTCGCAAGCCTTCGAGGTTGAAGATGAACTGCGAGCACATAAGCCGGACAGCGGCAAGTCCATCATCGATATAAGCCATCTTGCCGTTTTGGGTCTCAGGGGCC